CTGATTTAGGAGTTATTATAAATAAAGCTGCTTTTTTTTTTTTTAGAAGCCCAAATTTTTACACCTATTTTATTGAAAGCGACTTTGATATCTACAGTCATACAGGATCATATGGCTTTTTTTTCTTTTTGAGACAGAGTCTCACTTTGTTGCCCTTGGTAGAGTGCTGTAGTGTCACAGCTTACAGCAACCTCAAACTCTTGGGCTTAAGCAATTCTCTTGCCACAGCCTCCCAATTAGCTGGAACTATAGGGGCCTGCCACAATGCCCGGCTATTTTATTGTTGTTTAGCCCAAGCAAGCTTCAAACCTGCCAGTCTCAGTGTACAGTGGCTGGTGCCATAACCACTGTGCTACAGGTGCTGAGCTAGGATCATATGGTATTTAATTTAAACCTCAATAAAATCTGTGGGATTACTCAGTTATAATATTTTTCAGACTAATTTATAACCTTACCTCCTTGACATGAGCTTATTCTCCCAGGTGATCCTCCAAATTTTGGTTTCCTGATAAACTTAGCATTGTTTTAAGAAAACAAGTAGAGAAGGGACCCATGATAGTTCACAGCCCTTTTTTGCAAGATACGCCATCAGTGGGCAGGAGCACACTGATAATAAGGCTGTTATTCACTGACCTTTTTCTTTTCTGTCATCCAGGCTAGAACTCTTGTCTCAAGTGATCCTCCCACCTCAGCCTCCGTACTAATTGGAATTGTAGGCACAAGCTACCATGCCGGGCTGAGTTTTAATTTTTTGTAGAGACAGGGCTCACTATGTTTCCCAGGCTGGTCTTGGACTCCTGGCCTCATGTGATCCTCCAGCTTCTGCCTCCTACAGTGCTGGGATTACAGGCCCATACCACCACACCTGGCAGTAGGATCAAATCTTTTCATACACTTTCAAGGTTGAAACCCAACCACAAAAGTGGACGTTGCATCCATTTATATAAATTTTCTCTCTCCTACTTAGAGACCACAGCTGGAGAAGCAAAAATAAAAGCTTTAAGGAGTTTACCCTATCTAAACCTTGGCTAAAAAGGCTTAGGAAACAAACCCTAAAACATACACGAATACTGTTAAATCACAGTATTTTTCTATTGCCCCCATCTGGTCTCTAAACAGACACCTGGAGCCAGTTATCCGGACATTCCCAAGACCTTGAACGGACATCGGGTCAGATCCAGCGTACACTTCCTTCCACGCCCCGCTACAGCCTTCCCTCGCATTGGCTGATCCCGGACATCTCAAACTCGCAATTGGTTAATACCAGGCCCCAAAGGCTAAGAGGTCGGGGCGGAGGAATCCAGGACCTCCAGGACAGTGGGCTCAGAACCTAAGCGTTTAGGGGGTCGAAGCCTCAGCTCCGGACCCCAGCGCATTGCCCAACCCAAAGGGCTCAAGGTCCTATTCTCTCACACACGAGCCACGCCACCGCTAGCCCCACCCTGGGCCGCGGTCACCGTGCAGCCTCTGTCACCGCCTTTCCTCCCCAACGCCGTTGCTAGAGTCACCAAAATCCCTACCGCCCAAGGTCCACAAAGGCGACCAAATTTCTTTACCTGGACGACCCTGCTGGCAGACGCCATCTTGCTGCCCATCATGACCCCCGAGAAGGGGTAGCTTCCGGACCGCAAGCGAGCTGTGATAACTGGAGCCGTGGGCAGCTGGGGGCGGGACCTCCCCGAGACGTCACAGGGCCCTGGGAAGTTCGCCCCACCCCTGCACCGTTCGGCCCCTCCTCCTTCCTTGGAACGGGAGCACGTGCCTTGTATTGTTTAGTTTTGTCTGCGAAGGTTTCCTACTTTAAGTTGGACTTACCTTGCAAACTAGCTTATGTTATCTAGGGCCATTTCCTTTATAGACACCTGTTTTTGATTTCGGCATAGATCATAATTTTTTCTTAAACCAAATAATATATGGCCTGTGGTTTTTTAGAGTGCCAGGGCATCAGCCTAGCTCACGGCAACCTCAAACTCCTGGGCTCAAGCAATCCTTTCTGCTTCCGCCTCCAAAGTAACTGGGACAACAGGGATGGGCCACTGCGCCGACCAGTGGTTCTCAAGCTCCACTTTAATACAGATGGAATGTCGCTCTTGCTCAGGATGATCTCAAACTCGCAGCTGGAACAATCCACACGCCTTGGCCCCCAAAGTACTAGGATTACAGACGTGAGCTATTGTACCGGGCTTATTTATTTTATTACTTTTACTTAATTTTTTAGTAGAGATGGGGTTTATGTCTTCCCTTAGGCTGGTCTTTATTTTTTTTTTTTAAAGGCTAGTCAAGAGACGCCATGGAGGCTTGGCGCCTGTGGCTCAAGTGGCTAAGGTGCCAGCCACATACACCTAAGGTGGCGGGTTCAAATCCAGCCC